ACACACGGTGGGCATAATGACCTGCATTTCATGTGACACTCTTCTCAACTCTCTTCTCACTTACAGGGCTCACAGGGTCACATTGGAATCTTGTCCAAGAGGTACCTTAGCTTCTAGAAAACCTGGGAAAAGGAGTTCCCTTTATTTGTTGGAAGTCCGTTCAATTACTATGTCAGAAAATTGATTTGGGTCTCCAGAATTTAAACAACTACCAGTTACCCGCTTCATATAAACAGAACTGCAACTCTACATATTCGTTATCAATATTTCGCAGGACTCTAGCATTAATGACTAAAGATGAAAGTCAAGAAGGTAATCTGCTCAGATATTGCACTGAAAGTGACTCTAAATTCATCCCTTAAGTCCGAACCAGATTCTCTAACACTGGTCTCTTATTACAAAGGCTCACTCGTTACGCATGCTGTCCCTCAACAACTGCCATCTAAACCTGTCTTGCATAAAACCTGTGCATCCTAGGATCCAGCCCTGCACAACCCCATGAAGTTGTAAGTGGATTTTATTTGCTGAACAAATGTTAACACCATTCTATGTTAATGGATAATGCTACAAAAAAAGCACCTAGGACTGGAGCCCTTAGGGGTGAAATATTGTGTAACCTAGAAAACTGTCTGTTATAAACATATGTCAGCCATGAGGGCTTCCAGCCCTTATTACCCATCTTCATTGAACTCGGTTATAATTTCTCCCTCGGTTAAGTGAATTTTGCAATAATACACAGATTTATTACGTTCCAGGGTTAAAATGCTCTGAGAAAGAATAAAAAATAATTATACTTTATAACATAATGCAATATTTAAATGACTTGAAAACAGTCACCTCAGCAAAAATAAGGGAAGGGAGAAAAAAAGAAGTTTAAGAATAAGATTGGTAACACTGGCCATTTTACTTTGTGAGTTAGTTCAAGTACACAAATGCATGAGCTGGCACTTTTGAACTTCATAAACATATAAAAACAGAAAACCTCCCATTCACAGCAAAATGCCTAAGTGGTTTCATCAATGAACCAGGGAGTAGGGGGAGGTGATGGGGATTGTTGCTTTTTAATTTAATAAAATACCATAGTTGTTAAGAAATAGAGAGGATGTTGGTGCCAGATGGTGCTTGTTAAAATCCCAACTCTACCATTTACTAGCCCTGTGACCTTGTGCAAGTTGCATTTAACTTCTTGCCTCAGTTTCTTCATCTGTGAAATGGGGATGTGAACAGTGCCTCTGTCTGGGCTGCTGTGATGGTTCAATGAGTTAACACATGCAAGGAACCTGTGTCTCACACTCCATAAATGTTAGCTCTTCATCATTCAGTAGTTGTTACTGTATATAGGATTTACTGCAAATGAAAAAGGATCTGAATAGAAACTATGGCCCTTCTTCACCAGACATCTCTGAACTCACTGACCCCATTTTTTCAAGCCTGGATTCTGCCCAGTCTGTCCACAGAACAAACACTCAAGTAAGTCACCAATGACCTTTTTGTCATCTGTCCAATCAATTGGGTGGTTTTCCATCCTCGTCTCTCTTGTCCTCTTGGAAATTCTGAGCATGTTGAGCTTGAAACTCTCTTTCCATGGAGTCTATGACTTTTCACTGTCCCAAGTTTCCCTCAGTGTCTCAAACCACTCCCTCTCACCTTCATTTGCCACTGGATTTTCCTCTTCCTGACCTTTGAAAGTTGGAATTTAGACTCTGATTGCTTCTTGGTTTCTAGTCTCTCTCCAGACAAATTCACTCATTTCTATGGTTTTATTACCAACATACTAATTAATCCAAAATGTAGGTCTGCAGCTCAGACCTCTGTTCTGAGCTCCAAACCCATGTATGTTCATTTACATTCTCCATGTTACTAGAATGTCTCAAAAGGTACTTCAAACTCAACGTGTCTAAAAATAACTTGTGATTTCCTCTCTAACCTCAAAACCAGCATCTCCCTTAATGTTCTCATGTCTGTGAGTACCCCAGAAAGCATCCCCCATCTGGACATAGGCAGTAGCCTCCCATTCCTTTTCTTTCCTCTTCCTCTGAATCCATTTATTCTCCATAACAGCCAGAGTGGTGCATTTAAATTGCTAATCAGATCACATCCCTCTCTGCTCACATCCCTCACTGGCTCCCTGTGCTTATGGGATCTTGAACATGGCTGAGAACACATAGCATATTTGGCTTCTCCCATCTAGCTTTATCCACCTGCTTTCTAGCCACTCTGGCCTTCTCTAGCATTTCTGAGTATCTAACAAGCCAAGCTCTTCCCTTTCTTCTGCTTGGAACCCTGATCATTCTTCTCTTTAGGATGATTTCCTATTCATCCTTCAATGATCAGTTCAAATGTCATTTCCTCAGAAAAGCTGTTCTTGATCTGAAACTGGGTCATGTACCCTACAGTAAGTGAGCTCTCATAAAACCCTAAGTATTTATCACAATTAACATTTTACTTTTATTTATAAAATAAAAAACAAAAAACTTGGTAGCTGTATATTTTGTGGGTTTCAAGAGGGTAAGGAGTCGTATCTGTTTGGCCCATCATTGTTCTCCCATGTGGAAAGGGCATGCTAATACGTGTTAAATGACTACCTCCATTTTCATCATTTTAAGGCTTTTTTTTTCATGACCCTGCTCTTACTCCACAACAAAAGGGAACCATCACTTAAATGTGATGGCTGCAAATAACAAGTACCTCTGGTGACTCTGGATCACGAGGGCAGAGAAACTGATAAGGAAAACTGGGCTCCGCAGAGACCAGCCATGGGAACCCTGCACTAAAAGGGCCAGTACATCATGTCCATGATTGATAGCAAATAGAATGTTTGTGAGCTGTCAGAATGATACTCATCCTTCTTCTTTAGAGGGGTCTTATCATCATTCACTCATTAATTTATTCACCAACAAAATTGTGAATTCTAAATTTCACACACTGAGGCCACAATGTAGAAGCAATACTGATGTGTTACAGACACACAACAAATACAATAGGCTGTAACTGAGAAGGAGCCCTGAGCTTGCATTTGGAGGGCAGGACATGCTGAGGATAAGAGGGGAAGGTGATCCTGGAGAATAAATGGTATGAGTGAGGCAGGTGAGAGTCAGAAAAACAGTTCAAGCAAAATGGGAACACTGATCCAGTCTTCTAGGAGCTAACTTAATACCTTAGGCTGACAGGCAAGGTGAGAGGAAAAGGCTCACCTATACAGTACTAGCACCACCAACACCTTTCCTCCAACTCTGTAGTACCTCGCAACCTAGACCATGCCTCTTGGGCTCCAGGAAGAGCAGAACTTACAGAGAGCTCAGGTGTCTGCTATTGAAGTCATCATCTCCATTACCCTTAACCTTGCTTATGCATATAAATCAATTATCTGGCTGGTCCAGGCTTTCCCTTCTGTTCCATACCCAAATAGAGGTGGACTGTGGCAGTGCCAGACCAGTCGTGCGATGTTCTAGGGGTAGCGTGGGAAGGTAGGAGTGGGCTAAAGGAGTATGATGCTCTCATTAGCTCTCTTAAGAAAAAGAAATAACGCTTTAAACTCTTGGCTGCAGCATTCAGTTTCATTCTAGGTGCATTTTACACTACTTAAACTATATCCTTTTGGTCTGTGAATTACTCAAGCTCTTACTCAAACTAACCTCTGTTAGGAATGTTGAGAAGAAAGGGCAAATGACAGATTTCTTCCATATCCTCAGAGAAGATAAGAAAGGATAAGAAAGGGTAGAGTTTTTTAAAATAGCAACACCACAGAGAGGATTGGAGTGTTCTGGCATTATCATTTTGCAGAGGTAAACATGGCCTAAACATTGAACGTTTGGACTCAAACAGGAAAGTATGCTGAAGAAGAAAAATATGAAGAGTGTATCAGCATTTTATATTATCTGTTCTTTGATCTGAAACAAAACTCCAGGACAGAGAAACATAGATTTAAAATACAATGTGTATTTTATTTAACATATACTTAAATTCTAGAAGAGAATATACCCACTTTGACAATTGTTTTCTATGTAAATCTCTGCCAGAAAAACAAAAATTAGTATTAATTTAACAATTCAAACTTTAATTAATTATTTTTGTCAAAAAAATATGCTACCCCTGAAAACAATGAGATGGTTAGTATAAAAGTTAATCAAATAATTATATTACTGTAATACACTAGAAATTCAAGAAAAAGTATGTGGGATGTCCAAAAGTTAGAAAGATATTCAAATAAAGGTTTTTTTTTTTTCCTTACAGGGAATTGCAAAACCATTTGGTCTAATTTGTCTTGGTGTTTTGCTGAATGTGGTATCAGCTTTCTGAGAAGTGTATATTACTAGATTATGTTCCTGAAAAAATTTGAGTGAGGAAAAAATGTGGGATGAAGATGACATCCTGATTTTAAGTTTGGATCTTCAGGAAAACACTAATATGATGCAACAGCCCAACCTAAGTGAATCTGGGTGTGAAATGGCTGATGGAAGACATCCACTCACAATGACATTGATGACAAGGACAGGTTTGCAAGAGTAGCATACAAAGTAATAACATGCAAAACAATATAGAAGTAAATTTTCAGACTCCGAGACACCCCTTTGTCAGACTGCTTCTGATTCTAATTAAGTTTAGAAAAAAAATTAACAAGGCAACCCTGCCTGAGTGGAAAGTACAAACAATTAAAAGATGCTTCTGAACAGTAGAATGATTAATGGGGGCATCCAAATGTGAGCACAATCATGTATTTCATCTCAATGCTGTTCTTCTGTCTTCCGGCTGATCACTGTAATGCAGTGTCACTTCAGCCCATGCAAATACACCAAACTGAGGTGTAGCTCCTAGATTTCTAAAAGAAGTGTTGTTTCATAAAGTATCATTTAGGCAACTGAAGTGATTACCCTCAGAAAAGGTAAATGCCAAACAGCAAACAAACAACAGGTTCCCTTAGACAATGCAGCCACATGATTCCTTTCTGTTTGGAATCTTTGTTCAACCAGTTGAAAAGATTTGTAAAGGAATATCCTTACCCGGATTATTTCTTCCACGCAGATGTTGGTTTCTCCAGATCTACTCTCCTGAAAGCAAAGGGAAAAAACAAATTAAGGCTGACAGTCTAGATTTGTAGTTATGAAGAAAAGATGACACGTAAGCTTCCAAAGTTAATAGAGCTTAGATTTGGGAAAATGCCTAAACTGGGACATGCTGATGAGCCCCTTTCCTTAACAGGACAGTTTGCATCACAGTATGACTGCTCTCCCTTCCCCCACTGTGCACTGCAGGGCCAGGCCTGCCAGGAACACCAGACACGCCCTGGAGCTCAGCTCTGGGCCATCCAACCACATTGACTGTAAGCTGGTCAGGATCCTAGGAGTAACAGTAAACGACCTGCCTATGACCTGCATGTATAAACTCTCTTTGCCTTGGACTCTATCAAAGCAGGGATACATGGCCTCTACTGCAATGTGGATGCAGTTTACCCTTCAAATACATAAAAATGGCTTTGCTGAATACAAGGATTGCTATGGCTTAAGTAAAATTCTCGTAATTCCACTGTCCTTAAAGCCTAGATTTACTGGTTTGACAGGCCAAAACCAAAGGCCCAAAGGAGAAGCATCCTCTCAACACTTGCACAACATACTGGATGTCATACTCCATAGCACCTTGTTCCATAACCCTCCTTGCCCTGTTCTGTGGCGATGTTACAGCCTCTGAGAAATGGTAGCTCCAGGTACAGATGATCCTGGGGAACATTTTAAGTTCCCCAGAGATGAGTGGTTAACCATTGGTTACACAGCCCAGAATGCAGGAGGTGATTTTGGGGAGACATGAAGGCAGCACATCTACACAGTAGGTACACATGCTTACTATGGTTCCAGGGAGATACTTCTCTTGGCCTTTTAATTCAACTATATTGACCACAACTCAGCATGATATCCTAAGCTTTCCTCACCCTGAATGGAGACCCCATGCCCATTAAGCAGGAACTCCCCTTTCTTTCCTTTTCCTCATCTCCTGGTAACCACTAATTTACTTTCTCCCACTATGAATTTTTTTTATTCTAGACATTTCATATAAATAGAATCATACAATATGTAGCATTTATGTCTTGCTGGTATTACTTAGGCTAATGCTTTCACGGTTCATCCATGTTGTACAATGCAGCGGTACTCCAATCCTTTTTGTGCTGAATAATATTCCATTGTAGGGCTATACCACATTTTGTTTATTTGTTCATCAGTTGATGGACATTTTGGTTGTTTCTGCTTTGACTCTTGTGATAGCACTTCTATGAACATTTGTGTACAACTATGAATATTTGCTAAACACTTGTTTTCAATTCTTCTGGGTATATAACTAGAAGCAGAATTGGTGGGTCACATGGCAATTCTACGCTTAGTATTTTAAGGAACTACCAAATTGCTTTCACACTGGCTGTGCCAACCATTTCACATTTCCACAAGCAATGTATGAAGGTTCTAATTTCTCCACATCCTCATCAACACTTATTTTCCAGTTTTGTCTTTGATAGTAGTCATCCTTGTGGGTGTGAAGTGGCATCTTATTATGGTTTTGATCTGCATTTTCCTAAGTGACTAATGACATTGGGCATCTCTTCATATACATGTTGGCCATTTGCTGCTTCTTTGGAAGAATGTCCTTTGCTAATTTTTTAAATTGGTTTATTTTGTTTTGTTTTGTTTTGTTGTACAAGTTCTTTATATATCCTGGATACCAAACCCCTTATCAGCTATATGATTTGTATATCTTTTCTTCCATTCTGTGGTTGTATTTTCAACTCTCTTGATAGTGTTCATAGATGCACAACATTTTTAACTTTTATGAAGTCCACTTTATCTGTGTTTTTCCTTTATTATTTTGCTTTTGGTGTCATATCTAAGAAAACATTGCCAAATCTAAGGTTATGAAGATATATCCATTTTCTTTTAAGAATTTTTCAGTTTTAGGTTTTATATTTAGGTCTTTAATCCAACAGCTTGAGAGTTTTTAGGTAAAGTTTATTTCCTTATGGATTATTTTATGAGTTGTAGTTAAAATAGAAACATTATCTTTATACAGAGTTCTCCATTCTAGTCTCCTTATTAAAAGATTGATAACAAGCCCTGGTTGGTGTGGCTCAGTGGCTTGGGCATCTGCCTACAAATCGAAACGTAGTGGCTTTGGTAATGGTTAGGGCACATGCCTGGGTTGCAGGCCAGGTCTCTGTTGAGGGGCACGTGGGAAGCAACTGGTTGCTATCTCTCTCACATATGGATGCTTCTCTCCCTCCCTTCCCCTCTGTCTAAAAACAAATAAATAAAATCGTTAAAAAAAAAAAAAGGACAACAAAATGTGTAATGCACAGCCACTGTTGCTAATGGTACATGAACACACATTCATGTCTATCCTTATAAATCAAGAAAAACTGTGTTAAATATCATAGCAGGATCAGGAGTAATATTTTACTACCCTTTCCTACACTCATCTCTCCTGTTCTCCTAAAAGTTAAAGTTTGGTGACATGCTACTGATGAGCCCCCAATCCCACCTCCCAGTGACTTATTCCAGGATCGCTCCAGAAATTTCACTTTTTGACACTCCAGTCAAATTGGGTCAGAGAGCTCTTTTTGGAACCTGTCCCAAACCTGTCTCCTTTCCAAGGCAGTCTGAGGCAACCATCACAAATGCTGCTGGTAAATTCTTTGTCAGGCCAGTGTTTGACTGGCCTTTGAAATGACCTCCTTTGGAGTTCAGTGGTCTCCAGTGGAATTGTAACAGGGCACAGCCAGGGCCCCGCCAAAGGGTATTTGTAACGGGGTCCAGAGATTGGGGTATCCAAGAAAAATATATTCTCCCCACCCCAGGGCAGGCTGCCATGGGGGATGGGGGCCTTGAGCAGGGCCATTGAGAGTCATTTTGTAAGTCAATAACAGGATAGCTTCATTCCTCATATTCAAAGAGGATTATTTTGTATATCACCAAAGCTAATCAGAAAGGTTTCAAAGACTTTATACGGAAGGTAACTGGGAGAGAGGGAGGAGAGACAGGGGCCTGCAGGAGAGACACTGGGACAGAGATTCTGGGGAACAGTGTGAAGACCATGTGGGAAGAAAGAGGGGAGAAAGGACTCTTGCTAGTGGGCCAGGAGAAGGTGCCACATGGTTATGGATTAAGAGCTGGAGATCGCAGCGACGCAGTGGATGGTGCTGAGACCCGCGAGAGGCCTGCCTAGCCGAGCCCCGGACTTCTGTTATTTTTTTCTTCTGAAGGACCCCTGACTGGCCTGACTGGCCTAACTGGGCAAAGGGGGGAAGGCAGGACGGTGTGTGTGCTGGTGGTTGTTTTGAAGGGATTTTGAGGTTTAACAGTGACATTTAGCCATTAATCAAATTTGTATAACTTTTGAATAAATAGTTCCTTTTCCTTTTCACCAAACTCTGCCATTCAGAGCCATAATTCCAAGGGCGGGGGGCAAAGGACCCACAACCAAGGGGTCCTGGGGAAGGAGGGTGTCGTTTCGGTAATAGCTTCTGGCCACCGCCCCCTCTCCATGGGTCCTTTTGTTCGGTAACAGAATGAGTGGTCTCAACTGAAAAACATTTCTTCAAACCCATACCACTTCTCTTACTCTACTGCCAAGTCACAACCCTTTCCTACCACATAACATACCACTAGAATAAATGCTAAATTCTCAGTATACTTTCTATTTTCCACCTTAAAACAATTACTCAAGTAAAACTTAATGTTGTCATGATGGATTCACCCAGATAAACCACGCACTAAAAAGATTCTTCAAATTCAACTTTGGGCCTAATTAATTAAAGCTAAGTTTCTCCTGAATATCACACTTTAATTCCATTTAAAGTGATTTATATAAACTGATTTATATCAATTCCCACGATCCTACTCTGAAAGGGAATACACTGAGAGCAATGCAGTGTAAATGCCCAGTTAACTACTTCCCCCATCAACATAGATGGAGTATGGATTACCTTGGGTCATCTCAGTGGCAGTTCCGACCATGAGCTCTGACTGTCTGGGGTGACATCAGGCCATCCTGTACTAGGAGGGCCCCTAGCAAAGCTGAGGAAGTGAGCCCAGGACAATGGACTTGTAACAACCGTCTCAAGAAACCCTGGTTTTAAATGACAGTATGGAAAATCCTTGGCAGGGGAAACTCTTGGGCCTTCCCTGGAACATTTCTGACTCTTGGGACACCTGGGGATCTAAGGAAGATACTACATTGGGTTTGAGTCTCCAGGATGCCATCCTGATTGGAGTGAATACATGAGGCACAGTATTACAGAAAGTGTGAGTTAAAAGAAAACTTAGAATTCATTTTAGGCCACTCAATGACTTTAACAGATGGATAAACTGTGGCCCAGGGAACTGGAGGGCTTTGTTCAACATCACTCCAGCAGCAAGCGGCAGTCAAGGCAGAACTCACACGCATTTCTTCAACACTGGCTCAATGAATGTTCTATTATTTCATGCTATTTTTCTAAGCTCAACCCTTAGAACGGGCTCAACCTGAGGTCACTGTCATGCTTAAAGTATGAAAATAAAAGAATCTGGATAGTATTTGGGTAAATTTCTTTCTTCCTTTTCATGCTGCAAATTCTCCAACACACAGTCACTCTGTCTCTTACTAACCTCTGATACCACATGCAGAGAGGCCAAAGGGGGAAGTGACAGGAAAGGAAGAGAGAAAGGGTTAAAACTACCACCCCCTTCTGTGACATTAACAAATGAGAGACAAGGATCTGTGTGCTCAGAAAACAGAAGGGAGGACAGAATTCCACCTCTTCTTTTCCAAATGCACAAAAGGGGGTGGGTGGGAAGGGTTGTGAGGCAGGGTGTGGGGGTGAGGGGAGACTGGAGGGCCTTTCACCTTCTTGGGGGCTTTCTCAAATCTGGTTTCAGCTGCAGTTGTGTACTTTGATTATAATTACATTTTAAAATGCTCAGTGTTTATGAAAAAGATTAAAACATGCACATAATTTACATCTCCAAATTTGTGTTTATATTTTTCACAATAAAGTTACTGCTTTCCTTGGAAAGGTACCCACTGAGAAGGA